TAGAGAGCTGAGCTTAGATAACTTTGAAAGTGAAGGAGATGCCACTTTGGTCTCTGACAAACCATCTTTCACCACCAGCTGAAGTGTGTGCGCAAAACACTGCAGGCGCTGTGTCTTTGCCATAGCAGCACATACTGTTTCCTGATCTTCCAAGGTTAAGTCATGCCAGAGCTCTGGGTCGTCAAGATGATCACCATCATCATCATGTTTCTCACCTTGCTCAGTGGGGAAGCACACAGTGAATGCTTTCCGCATATTGGCAGCATTGTCACTAATAATATAGTCTAGTTTATCTTTGATGTTGTATTCGTCACATATAGCTTCAAATTTCTCACAGATTCTTTCACCAGTGTGTAATCCTTTGAAGCGATCAAAGGCCAGCAGTTTGGATTTTAGCTGCATCCTCTCTGTCCTAAATAATCCTAAATAATTATTAACACTTAAACCGTCATAGTTTTCAGACAATAAAAATATAAATAAAAAATATATAAACAATATTTATTAAAACACTTTTCTCAAAACTCTGCATACAGTTCTAATAAGCAATGTTTAGCATCCCTGTTAAGAATAACTGACCTTTGCAAATAAACAACAGCTAATAACATAAGATCAAAGTATTTGATTTGATGTATTGACATAAATGACAGAAGAAAAAGGCCCTATATAGCAGGACTACTCAATTACACACTAAGGTGGGCCAGAATTTCTAACCAAAAAAAATTTCCCTGGCTCAGACATGCAAAAATTAAACACGACCATACACTAATTGCAAATTAAACAGTGATTTTGAATTGTGATATGATGGTAAAATAAATATTTGTCAGTCTAAACTGGGTTAAATCTACAGGGTTAATGATGGGGAGGATGGAGAGAAACTCTCTTCCCTGAGTACAGCTACAGAACCCACTTTCTGAAATGGACCCTGCTCACCACCGACAATTCTGAGCTAACAAGTTGCATGTTATTCTTGGATGCGCTTGTAGGACCGGATTTAAAATAGCATGACAAACATATCATACCTGTTAAAGCCAAACAGTATCATCAACGTAGCCCGGAGAACATTTGCTAATAAGATGAAGTTAGCTAAGTCGCTATCTCATTGTAGCAAAAAAAGGCAGCACCTACCGTTCTTTATGCAACTTCAAATGTCGGACAAAGTTGGAAGTTGTTCCATCTCCGTCTGTAATT